TTCATGATATATAGAAACATTTTGTGTTTCCCGCCGCACTGAGACTGACGTCTTTTCATTGGGCAGCCTGTTAGCGCGGTCGATGCTAATAATAAAAGCACACACACTTTTTTCCCGCCGCACTGAGACTGACGTCTTTTCATTGGTCAGCCGGTTAGCGCGGTCGATGCTAATAATAAAAGCACACACACTTTTTTCCCGCCGCACTGAGACTGACGTCTTTTCATTGGTCAGCCGGTTAGCGCGGTCGATGCTAATAATAAAAGCACACACACACACACACCCACACACCGACGTGCTCCATGGTTGGTGTGCTGAATTTGCTTGTCGACTGTGTTGCAGAACGTGGAACGTGCACCTGAGTGTGTCCCGGGATGCTGGGTTGGTTCGAGTTCGTTTGCCAAGCACCTACGCCGTCGTCGGAACGAGTGCCATTGGGCCGTTTTGGCGCATGGATTGGTTTTCCGCGTGGATGACGCGTGGCGACCTGTGTTCATGGCAGACCCTTCCCAAATCGACTGCCGTAGTTTTGTAGTTGCTGGAATGTGTTGAACCTGCCGCTTCCGTGCTGGGGTTACGGCGTAGGGCTGTCGCTGACCATCCGTCCGTTATCACGGTTTCATTTTGTTTACCTGTCATGTCCGATGGCATTGGTCGCATAAACGTAGCTGCTTCGCACAGCGGTGTGGACATCCTGTATCTGGGGGTATGATGTGTCCATTATGGAGATCGTGTGCTCCGTTCGTTTCTTCACGAGGGCCTGCACATGGGGGAGTTCATTCGATGTGATGATTGGACTCCTGGCGTTCGGTGTCGATGGTGGACGGTGGTTCATGTGTGGCGCGGCCCCATGCGGCAGCGGCCTTGCGACAAATGGTGTCGATGGCGGAGCTGCCGTCGTCGAAGTACGCGGGTTTGCAGCCGATTGCCCTTCGCCCAAGCGGTTGCCTTGGCGGGTTTGCAGCCCGCTGAGTGCGCGCTGCACTCCCTTCGGATTGGGCGTGCAACCTACTTGGCGGCGGGGGGTGCCCTCCGTAGGGAGGGCGATGGTCCGGGGATAGTAGATACCAGTGTTGTGTTCGGAACGTGGGGAGTGACGAATCGCGGGTACCGGAACTGTTAGCGAAGGCTGAGGGCGTTACTATTGTACGAAGCCGGGGCAGGGTACCAGATGAGGTGAAGTGTGATGAATCCCGTGGTCCGCGTTGGATACCGGCGAGGCAGCAAGTAGTCGACGCGTTAAGTACTTGGATTCTGGGGCGTGACTTGGGTCAAGAGCAAGGCGTAGCGTTAACTCTACCACCGTGGGCTATATGTATATAATGTACATAGTAGTAGGGCTGGCCGCGGGGGGATCAGTCTATAGCACACCAGCCTTTGTGTTCCAGGCAGACAGAGTTTTACCTTTCTGTCTGTTTGGCTGGTGTCTACACTGATCGTGAAGGTGTAGACTGGGGGTGTGGTTTGTGTTGCCCCGGTCTCCACTCTCCTCCTCTCCCTTGTCGAGCACAGGGGGGCACGCAGAAAATTAATGACAACTTGGAGAGCGTCGAGAGAGTACCCGCTTTGTGTGATCATGGGTCCGGGGTTGGCAAAAGAGGATCCTAGCTCGCGCATAGGGTACCCCAAAGAAAATGGGTTCCCCACCGCGGCCCCCCTCTGCTTATATAGGAATAGAGAACCGTTACGCCGCCCTAAAAAAAAATCCCAATTTTGAAAAGAGGGAATCGTCCTCGACAGACAGACGTTGGGGAGATTGCACCTTTATGAAGGTGGTCTCCACACAATAAATGCGTACCTCGGTGTCGGATAAAGTTTGTCTCGGGTGCCCTTGTTTGGTTAATATTGTTTTTTTCCATTTTCTCTTCATCTTTTCGTTCTCTTCGTATAGACGCTTGAAATTTGACATTCGGATCCGCGAGCGTTCGTCGCCATGCGCATCCGTGCGTGTCCACACCGCAAGAAAAACACGAGTGGAGAGGCCTCGATTCTGTCCGTCTACTTGAGATTTACCCGAGCACGATAGGCCCCTTACGATTCGTGTCTGACATAGGTGCACGCCGGAACCGCAACGACCCGTTGAATTACTGAGTGGAAGAAAAAAATTCCGATCCGTGTCCGATATACTGTAGGTGCACGCCGGAACCGCAACGACCCGTTGAATTACTGAGCGGAAGAAAAAAAGTGCGCCGACATGACAGAGGTGGTGGCTGCCACTACTGCAGTAGTGCCCACCGTCACCCACCATCAAGCATCACGCTGGCCAAAAAGGGTATGTGTGACTGGAGCAGCAGAAACCCTCAACGAAACACTGCTCGATGTTGTAGTACAAAAAGGCCACCGAACACATCCAGTCTTTTACCAACGAACTCTCTCCTTGAAAACACGACACAGGAATGAGTCAAGGATGGTCCCAGAAAAGGCTTGGCCGGTCGGTGTGCTCATGGGACACCAATACGCTGTCGGACCTGTACAGGGATACCTCCAGCCGGCGACTTATCCTTGCGGGGTTCGCGGGACCGGACACACCAAATCGCGTGAGACCACCACACTCAACATCGACACCGCTCTCGGACCGGACTAGGTATACACACGCCACTTACAACATGCACGTGGTGTTTTCGTGGGTTTCACATTCGTTCCTCGCTTCATTCGATCACAGTTGGTGCTGACTACTGTAGAGAATGACACTCTACCACACGCGCTGCTGATCGTGTACGCCTTTTGACAAAGGCTTTCAACTTGGTGTCCAAAAGAAAACCGCTGGTCAGAGTCAGGAACTAAACAGTCGTCACTTACGTCAGACTAGGAGGATACTGCCTCAACCAAATCCTTAGCTCGACAGAGGCTTCACATGTCGGAAAACTGCGGGCGCATGAGTACTGCGCCCTTTCGGTGTACCCCACAACATTCAAGTTGGTGTCCGCCGTTGGACAGACAGAAGGCCGGCCGACATCTCTCTAATAGAAAAATCGTTCGTCACAAATACACAACTAAACCCTGATGTATATCAGAAAAAATATTATGACCGCCAGTTTGTGGACTTCTCCTCCTCGCCGCCCTCCTCCCACCAGGTCTTGTTCTTGAAGCCCTTTCGGAAGAAAGACGTCACCGCGTTGTCTTCTTCCTCGTCGAGCTGACGACGGGCGGTGTCACGTGACGGGCAGCGACAGCAAGGAAAACAACAACCGAAAAACGTTCGCCCAGGAGACAACAGACAAACGTTGACAGAGGGGAAAAAAAAGTTGAATGATTTGCTCAAGGACGAGAGGCGACAAAACTCTCGTGGCATGTACACGAGAAAAAAGTTCAAGCGAAAAAGGATCAAGTTTCGTCGGTGACCATCAGTGTCTCCCATTGTCCGCATGACCCAATAGTAAATCTGGTCAAACGGAACGTCCGACGATTTTGCAAAGAAAAAAGTATCGAAATACCTTGAGGGCCTTGGTGAGCTCGTCCTTGAAGTCCCCCAGGGATTGTCTCTTCGGCGAGTTGCTTACCTGGTATCACGTCGCGCATGCCATGGGAGTGGATGAAACGGGGTGACTCGGTGCACGAAGCGGTCGGCAGGGGACAGGGGTGGCAGGGGGCTCACACACACATCGTGTCACGGGAGGGATCAATACAAGAAGTCTCCGACTGGAGGCGCCCATGAACAGGCTTCCAAAAAGGGATACACGAAGGTGAAACCGTCGGAAGGCTGCCCCTATGCATTCATACCTCTCGCATCTGATTCCATCGCTCACCAACACGAGACTGCGGATCGATACAGCACACATACAAAATTTCCCAAGACCCGGAAATGGGGGCCATTTGTCCCCCCCCCCGCACAAGAACCATCGTGAACGCAACGGCAGAGAGAGTAGTGGGAAGGAAGGTGGTACGATGTGGGGTATCGGTTAAGTGGTGGGATGACGAGCTGAAAGAAGAAATAGGGGAACGTAGAGAAGTCTTCAAGCAGTACCTGAGTGAGGCGTCTGAGGAGAGTTGGGAAAAGTACAGGGCCAAGAGAAAACAGGTGAAGGGACTAGTGA